ATTCATAAATCAGAGTTTTGCATTTGCAGGGTACAGTATTCTGGCTTGACTTTTTTTTTTATCTTAGGACTTGGAATATATCTCACCATTCTCTCCTTGCTGTAGGTTTCTGATGAGAAGTCTGCAATGAGTCTAATTGGAGTTCCTCTGAATGTGATTTGGCATTTCTGCCATGCGCATTTTAAGATCTTTTCTTTATGTTTTCCTGTGGAGAATTTTTCTACAATTTTCTCATTGTGTGTATTGGGAGTTCTGGTTACTTCCTTTTTTGGGGTGCCTCTTTCTTTCTCCAGATAGGGGAATTTTTCTATTATTATTTCATTAAGAAAGCCTTCTAATCCTCTCTTTCCACACATTCCAGAACTCCTAAGACCTGTATGTTAGGTCATTTGATAATATCTTAATAGATCTCCAATGGTGTTTTTTAGGGTTCTAATTTCTCCTATGTTTCTTGACTATAGAATTTCCAGAACTTTGTCTTCTAGTCCTGATATTCTTTCTTCTATTTCACCTATTCTGTTGTTAAGGCTTTCCATTGCATTTTTTATTTGATCTATTGAATTATTCATTTCTATTATTTCATTCTGGCTTCTCTTTAATTTCTCAATTTCTTGGAAAAGTGCATTTAGATAGTGAATTTGCTTCTGATTGTTTCTAAGTAATCTGATGATTAATTTTCTGAATTCTGTTTCTGACATATCCTGGTCTCTTCATCTTCCTTCTATTATTGTAGTGTTGTAGTGTTCCTTTTGGGGATCTCATAGCGTCTTCCTTATTCTTATTTAGGGTTTTTTCTTTGCTTTTTTGGCATTTTCAGTTACACAGAGACATGCCTAGCGGAGCCCGGCTCACTTCTTGATGGTGGTTGGGATGCACTTCTCCTCGTTGTACAGCTTGTATAATGTGAAAGAAATTCTTGTGGAATGTTGTGGTCCTCATTCCTGGATGGGGGATATGGTGAGGTTACCCCTGCTATTGATGGGTGTGTGTGTGTGTGTGTGGGAGGCAAGGTCAGCAGTCCCCTGCTTGCATGTAAAATTGTAAACAAATACACAATGGGGAAAAATGGGTTCTCACAGGTAACTTCAGGTCTGGGTCAGGGGAGGGGTACAGGGAGGTGGGCAGGGAGTTGCCTGACCTTTCCATTTGTTTCTCTATATTTTCTCTTTTTTCCTGCATGGAACTTCAAGAGCAATTCACCAAACTCCCTCCTGCTGCCATCTCCAGCTCTGTGGACCTGCAAATTCTTGTCTCACGTGTTCCTTTGGGGGCTGGCACCAACCTCCCCAGTCCAAGCCTCCACCATTTCCTTTCCTTATTTAGCCTTTTGGAGTGCACCTGCCCAATCTCTATTGCTTTCTTAGGTTTCCTACTGCAACTTTCCCCCCAGCTCTATCTTTGGCATGTATCTTCTCTCCTTTTTAACTATCAATTTTGCTCCACATAACTTGGATCATCCTGTTGCTATGCCACCATCTTCAGATTATCTTTTCTGAAGTGTTTCTGTTCATGGATTTCTGCTTGTCCAGTAAATGGAGGCTAGAGTTGCCATCATGGTGAATTATTATTTCATGGGTTGTCATATTTTGCAAGTAGATTAGTTCTTACAAAGAGTAGAATGTTTTGATTTATAATTCATTTTATTTTTCTAATTAGGAAACTTTTTTATTAAGAATTACTAGAAACCAACATTTTTCCACCCATAAATTTAGTGGCTTAGGACACCATGAGAATTATTATAAAAGGAAGAAAGGGGACTGTGCAAACAAAAGACATCAAATGTAATGAGGGGGAAAGCAAACAGCTTGTTGTAAGTGTAAAGAATAAAACTTCAGGGAGTTCTGATTTATAGGAAATAATTATTACTTGCTGATTTAGAAAACTGGGGCAGAGATAAGAAATCATTGAGGTGGCTATTTTTGCAAACTGATTTGAAGAATCCTTCTCAACTCTTCCAATATGAATTTTAACAATTCTTGGTGAATGTGTTCCCTTTCACTTATGGATTTTCAGGGACTTGAAAAATGACATTTGAATGAAATCATGATACCTAAAAAGCACATGTTGACCCACTATTATAAATGCAAACAAAAAAAAGACTAGGAGCAGAGAAGGGTTTTATCAAAAGTTGCCTAAGGGATCAGAGCAAGAGAATAGACCCAACTTCCAGCTTTCAATCTCCAGAATTTAGAATCAGCAAGTTCTTGAAATTGAGCTTCAAATTCTAATAATAGAAACTTAAAATCACTCATAGTTTTAATCTAAAGTGGATCATTCATTCACTCTTTTGCACAATTTTGTAATTATTTGTCAGACAGTTATTGAACATCTAATCTTTATTTGCTAAAAAACTAAGGATGAATAAGATATGATCATTTCCATCGGAGTTTATATATATAAATTTTATTTATTTATTTGAAAGGAGAGAGAGAGAGAGAGAGAGAGAGAGAGAGAGAGACTTCCATCCATTGCTTCACCTCCCAAATTCTGACAAAAACTGGGACTGGGTCAGGCTGAAACCAGGGACCCAAAATTCTATCTGAGACTCCCACATGGAAGGCCTCTCAGGGTGCACATTAGCAGGAAGCTGGAATTAGAGACAGAGCTGAGACTTGAATCCAGGCACTCTAGTATTTGAAACAGGCATCTCAAGTAGCATCTTAACCACTGCCTCACATGCCCTCCCCCAAAGAGTTCATGTATTTAAAGAGGTGAGTTCAAGTGGACATGAAGTGAGCTTTCCTACTGATTGAGAAAATGCTTAGAATTAGAACCCAGATTTATCTTTTCTGTTGTTAGTATATTTATTCCCTTAAAATAAAGCATAATTTTTCTGGTTATTCATATAATTTCTTTAAGATTTATTTATTTATTTGAAAGTCAGAGTTACATACGGAGAGAGAGAGAGAGAGAGAGAGAGGTCTTCCGTCCGTGGGTTTACTCCCCAATTGGCTGCAACGGCTGGAGCTGTGCCAATCCAAGGCCAGGAACCAGGAGCTTCTTCCAGGTCTCGCGCCCGGGTGCAGGGGCCCAAGGACTTGGGTCATCCTCAACTGCTTTCCCAGGCCACAGCAGAGAGCTGGATTGGAAGTGGCGCAGCCAGGTCTTGAAACGGCGCCCTTATGGGTTGCCGGCACTTCAGGCCAGAGTATTAACCTGCTGTGCCATGGTGCTGGCCCCTATTCATATAATTTTTAAAGCGTTCCCATCTCAAAATTATCTCAACAGATTCTAAAGTGAGAAGAAATTTAAATCCAAACATCATGGATACCAGTCAGGACATCAAGACTGTAACATTCCAGGTGTGTGTGTGTGTGTGTACTGGTTTCATTTCTTTATGACAATAATTAAACACATGTTTTAAATTTCTTTTTGAGTCAGTTTTAGGCACTTTATATATTTTTGGTTATATTGATAATATAATAATTTCTTTTTAAAATTTTAATCATGCCGTATTTATATTCTTTTTGAATTCTTATATAACACTCTCGTGGTTTCTTTTTTCTTTTTTTTTTTAGAGATTTTTTCATTATTCTTTTTTTTTTAAACTTTTATTTAATGAATATAAATTTCCAAAGTACAGCTTATGGATTACAATGGCTTCCCCCCCATAACGTCTCTCCCACCCGCAACCCTCCCCTTTCCCACTCCCTCTCCCCTTCCATTCACATCAAGATTCATTTTCATTTCTCTTTATATACAGAAGATCAGTTTAGCATACATTAAGTAAAGATTTCAACAATTTGCTCCCATACAGAAATATAAAGTGAAAAATACTGTTTGAGTACTAGTTATAGCATTAAATCTCAATTCTCGTGGTTTCTTTTTTCTTTATCTTGATGTTTTCTTTTTTCTTTCTTTCTTTTTTTTTTTTTTTTTTGACAAGACAAGCAGAGTTAGACAGTGAGAGCGAGAGACAGAGAGAAAGAAAGGTCTTCCTTTCATTGGTTCACCCCCCAAATGGCCACTATGGCCCGTGCGTTGCGGCCGGCGCGCTGCGCCAATCCGAAGCCAGGAGCCAGGTGCTTCCTCCTGGTTTCCCATGCAGGTGCAGGGCCCATCTTCCACTGCACTCCCAGGCCACAGCAGAGAGCTGGACTAGAAGAGGAGCAACCGAGACAGAATCCGGCACCCTGACCAGGACTAGAACCCAGGGTGCTGGCTCTGCAGGCGGAGGATTAGCTTAGTGAGCTGCGGCAATGGCTGATCTTGATGTTTTCTTTTGACTTCATTTTTCATTAATTAATTTTCATTTTCCATCAGAATCCCTTATACCTACACATCACCTGCATGCTGGTAACTAACACAGAACTTGCTCCATCCAGACAAGTCTTTGGGTACAAAGGTGTGATGTGCACAAGTCAATCTGTTGTTCACGCATATTATACTCATGTTTTATAATCACACTTCTTGTAAACATTTTAAAGACCTCATTGTTTTGTCTGATTTCATTGTTTTGCCTATTTTTTCTCTTCTAGCTCTCCATGCATCTTAAGGAAAAGGGGTTAAATTTAACTACTTTGTTCTATATTTCTCCTTAATGTTTCTTAATGTATCCCATATATTTTATATCTTCCCTTCCCTAATACAAAAGTTCACCCCCTCATACTCATATGTACATAATATAGCAACAGTATTCCTTTCCTTCACACATATCATGCCTCCAAATACTGACCAGTGGGTCAGAATACTCCTGGTACTTCATGTAAATTTCTTCCATGATTTGGATGTGGTTCTGTTACTCCTCTAAGGATTCAAGTGTTTAAAGCTTGCCTCTCCAACCTGGCCTTCCCCTGTGTGACAATGCTGAGCCCTGCTAGAACCTTTCAGGGGTAGAGCCCAGCAGGAGATCACGTTTATTGCTTATCTCTAAAGGGGTTCCTGTAATTCTCCTTGGAATGCAGTGGGTTCTTGTGAGGGGGAGTTTTTGTAAAAGATCAAGACTGCCCTTCCTTAGTTTCCCTGGCATCCTATCTCTCCTTGTAATCTTTCCCTCTCAGATGTGATCCCACCATGACATCATCTGCCACGACGTGTCACAGTCAAGGGAGCCCCGCCAGAGGCTGAACACTTACACGTTGGGCCACTTTATCTTGGATTTTCAGCCTCCCAAAAATGTGAGTTAATGAAATTATTTTCTTTATATCTTACTCAGCCTCAGGTAATTTGCTTTTAGCAACAGAATACAGACTAATAGACTTTATATATTTTAAGTATTTGCTTATTTTAAGGGGGTGGGGAGAGTAAGCACCTATCTACCAGTTCATTCCTCAAATGCCTGACCAGGTGACCAGATTTCAGCTCTCCATGGGTAGCAGGAACCCAATTGCTTGAGCCATTGCCACTGCCTCCCAGGGTCTTCAGTGGCAGGAAGCTGAGGTCAGCAACAAGAGCTAGGAATTGAACCTAGACGCTCCAATGTGGGAAGTGGGCATCTTAACCAACATCTTAATTGGTAGATTAAACACCCGCTTCCATGGGTACCTTTTACAATGTTGTGACTGACTACCAGTGCCTCCTCAATGGTTTTTTCTGTTGCCTATTCTGATGGGCCTTTGCCGTGGGTGATAGGACATATTTTGGGACATATCTGCTCCCAGTCTTCCAGTCATGCTTTCTTCATGTTTGAACCTCATTCTTGCCCAGGTTACACCTATTATTTTTTAAGTTATTAATAGAGATTCATGTCTCTCTTTTTGATGTCTTCCATGTTTCAGCTTTCCATGAATAGGCATTCTTATTCAGCTGGGATTTCACAGGTTTATTTGCATTGCCTCTCTCTTTTAAAAGTGTTATTTGCTAATTTAGGGATCAGAGTTCAACTGTGACAGATAAGATTCCCCTGTTCTGCTTCAGAACCTTCTTCATTTCTGGAAAGAGCGTTCTTCTCTGATTAAGACAAAAACCAAATCATGGTGAATACCACGTCCCATTCTAAAACTAGAGGCAATGGCTCCTTCAAGGAGCACTTTAGGGGGCTAAATTCAGAGCTGTCTAAGAAATTATTAGTGATGTTTGTAGAAACACAGTTTAACATTCAGAATATCTGGATATTTCTCTGTGCTGTTTTGATGATAGCTACAATATTTACTCATTTTTTTTTTGTTTAAAAGCCAGTTTGTATGACTGGCTTATTTTTGTCTAGATCTCTCCGCTCAGGGGTTCACTTAGGTATCTGACTGCAGAGAGAGATGTTCCTGGGTTGCTTCTCTGTAGCCTTACCTGAGGGTCCCCAGTGCTGGTCTGTGAACCAGTACCAACCACACCGCATTGAAATCCTCAGAGAAAACTTATTTTAAAACGTCTTTTAACCAAGAAATCTTACTTAGAGTTTCTGATAAATTATACCTCAGATAAGGCCAGAGAGTCAATATCTGAGGAGCTTGGGACATTTGTACATGAAGGTAAGTTGAGAATTATTGCTTCAAATGGTGAGTAGCCTATTAAGGCTTGATGGAGTTTTTAGGTTTCAATACTAAATAATAACAACTAATTATAGTAATATTATGGATATTTATGATATACCAGAGATAATAATGAGTGTCTTTGTGTGTAGCATATATATCACAAATGAAGATTACTTTAACCTTATCAGGTAAATATAATTTTACTCCCTGTATGAGAAAAAGAGGCTTTGCCCAAGATGACATAGCTAGTGAGAGGATTCAAACCCTGGGAAACTGTAGAAAAAATTATCACTCAATGATAAGTATTGTGGTACTTAAACTAGGAGGCCACCCCTGGGCTCAACCCTATTCCTAGCAGGGTGACCTTGGAAATGACATTCAAATATGCAGGGATTCTATTTTATTTTTCATTTGCAAAAATGAGAGGCTTACACTAGGCAATTTTTGGTTCTTTTTAGCTAAAAAATTATGCTTTTTTTCTATGAAAATGCAATTATTTTTGAAGAAGCATAACAATGAACTAATCTCTAACATATGAGAGAGCATATGAAACATTTATACACAATTTGGAGCAATATTCATTGGAATATAAAAACTTAAGTACAATTTGGCACCTTTCACACCAATCTCATTTTATCAACTCTTAATATATACATTTTCTGCTATAAATATTGAGCAGTGACACTTTTTTTTTTTTTTATCAGTAGTGTAGGTATATGGGCTAAGACTTACTTACAGCTCAGCCATTCCTAGAACTAAAGTAACCTTTGGGCTTTGAAAAAAATTTTTTTTTGCTGTCATTTTCAAGTGTCCTGGTGAAGAAACCTTCTTAGAATTATTGCTATTGGAGCCAGTGCTGTGGTGTAGCTGATAAAGCTGCCGTCTGCAGTGCTGGCATCCTATATGGGCACTGGTTTGATTCCTGGCTGCTCTACTTCTGATTCAGCTCTCTGCTGTGGTCTGGGAAAGCAGTGGAGGAGGCCCAAGTCCTTGGGCCCCTGCACCTGTTTGGAAGACCTATAAAAAGCTCCTGGCTCTTGGCCTCAGATTGGCCCAGCTCTGGCCTTTGTGGCCATTTGGGGAGTGAACCAGTGGATGGAAGATATCTCTCTCTCTCTCTCTTTGTTTTCTCTCTCTGCCTCTGTAATTCTGCCTTTAAAATAAATAAATAAATCTTTAAAAAGAGAATTATTACTATTTTTTTTTCCAAAAGCTGAATCTCAGTAGGAGTCCTAACTGGTTTTGACTGGTTTTCTCCTCTATCTTATCAAGTTTCTCCTCAGAAAAGGAATGGGATTATCAGGCACTTAAGCATTACACCTCCAAGCATGGCTTTTTTTTTTTTTTCTATTTTAATCAGCAGAATCTTTTTTCCTAATCTGACCTCCTGCTTCTGCAAGCTTTCTACTTATAAAAGGTAGGGCTTGACAGAATCAGGGTGTTTATTAACATTTCTTTATTAATGTCTAAATGCCATGTTGACATCTGAGCTACAATTTGAAAGTGGCTGTCTTTTCTCAGGCTTTATATTTTAAAGCATTTATTCAGGAAAACATATAGTAGTTTCTATGCTTTGGCTCACATTAATTTCATGCTGAATTATGTATTATGAATTATGTAGTAATAAACAGAGAGTATATTGCACAGTAGTGTAGACAACCATCCTGGAATCAGGCAAGCACATATGGAGATAAATATGCACATAGAGTTGCTCTTGGGCTGGGGATGGGATTCCCTCCTGGAAAACACATTGCAAGTTGAAATTTTTGTGAAGCAAAATTGCATTTAACATATTTATCCTGCTGAAAATCACAGCTTAGCTTAGCCTATCCACGTTAAATGTGCTCAGAAAACTTACATCAGCCTACATACAGTTGGGCAAAATCATTCAACACAAAGTCTATTTTATAATAACATGCTGAATTTCTCATGTAATTAATTTAATAATATAGTGAAAGTGAGAAAAAAAGCTGTTTGTACGGATATACTTTCACATCCTCATAATGTCAAAACATTGTTCAGTTGAACCATTGTAAATTGGGGACCATCTGTACATAATTATAAAGTGTATGTAATTTACTATTAATATTAGCTACTAATGATTTTATCCCTCTGATAAATTAATGCCACAAATTGTTCTGGAATATTTTTACCACCACCTAAATGCTCTTGCTTCTTTCTTTTTTTTTGCTCCAGGAGACGGGATTTCACTAAGGCTCCAGATTTTCTGAAATGAAATATTGTAAGACAAATATGTCTGCAACAGAATATTTTGAGCATTGCTTTACATGAAAAGAAAGTCCAGAGATTAATGAGAGTCAATATAGCATTTAAAATTCTCTTGTGGCTTTTGACTAATTGTCTTTAAAAATCCTCATTGTGCAGAAGTTAAATCTTTCTCTGTCAAATAAAGAGAATCTGATTATTTTGATGACAGAAGATTTTACTAATCATTCATTTAAGACACTAATCCACATAGTAATGGGTTTAGGCAATATCTGTGCAATTATCATTAATTTAAAGGGTCATTCGGACCATCAATGTTTATGTAGACCATCATCAGAGAAGCTTTGTGGAAATAAATTTCTTCTCCAACCCACAATCTAATAAACCTCTTCATCTGCCCCATTTGTGAACATTATTTAATTTAACATTATTTTCTGATCAATGAAACAGAGGACTTGAAGAGACATGAAAAATATTGAAAAGACCACCTGATTTAAAACAAAGTGTTAAAGTATCGCTGCTTCCTTCATTCCTTTACTGGAAATAGGACTGAATTCATGCAAATTTTGTGAATGTCTTGTTTTGAAGGAGCATCATATTTGAGGTTGAAAGGAAACCGGTCCCACAAGAGGTTGCAGTGTATTTGTGTGCAGTGACCTTGTGTAGTGATTTTTTTTTTTAAATAAAAGTTGATTTATTTGTGATGGAGAGAGGAAGAGAGAGACTACTCCTACACATTGGTTGGATTCCCAAATGTCTATAATTGTTGGGAGGCCAAAGATAGGAACCAGGAATTTTGTACAGGCTACTCAATTGCTTGACTTGTCAGAATTTGCATTAGCAGGAAGCTGGAAACAGGAGCTGGAGATGGGATTTGAACCTAGACATTCTGAGGTGGGCTCAAGATATTAACTGGCACCTTAACTATTAGACCAAATACGGAATACAAAATCCTGAGGTTTTTGATAGAACTCTGATTGCAAGTGATCTGTGTCAGATGTCTGATTAAAAAAATAAAAATAAAAACATTTCAGTAACCTCTATTTTTTACATGTAAACTGCTTCTCTAAGACTTTTTAAGACAAATGACACAGACTTAAAAATCCTTTGCAAAAACACATTGCAGTTTTGGGTTAAAAAATTATGAGTGAGGAAAATGTAACTAGCAATTCAGTAAAGTATAGAATTATAAATACCTTAAAAACAGATACAACTGAAGAGCTGTAACATTAAGAAATAATATCTTTCAGGATCAGAGAGAACCACATGGAAGTAATATCATGTGAACTAGGCTTTAGCTAGGTAGGCACAGCTGGTAGTTATTTAGCATTAGTTTCCCAAACCGTCTACATGCATTTTGTTTATAATATGCACTTTCAAGAACTTTTTTTTTTTTTTTTTTTTGACAGGCAGAGTGGACAGTGAGAGAGAGAGACAGAGAGAAAGGTCTTCCTTTTTGCCGTTGGTTCACCCTCCAATGGCCGCCGCGGCCGGCGCTCTGTGGCCGGCACACGGCGCTGATCCGAAGGCAGGAGCCAGGTGCTTTTCCTGGTCTCCCATGTGGGTGCAGGGCCCAAGCACTTGGGCCATCCTCCACTGCACTCCCGGGCCATAGCAGAGAGCTGGCCTGGAAGAGGGGCAACCGGGACAGAATCTGGCGCCCCGACCGGGACTAGAACCTGGTGTGCCGGCGCTGCAAGGCGGAGGATTAGCCTAGTGTCTTTTGTAAGACATGTCATACGCATGGATTTCATAATTTTTAAAAATATTTTTATCTATTACTTGAAAGACTAAGTTATAGGGAGGGACAGGGACACAGACACACACACACACACACACACACACACACACACCGGGGGCTTGGGGGAGGAGAGCTTCCTTTTGCTGGTTCACTAGCCCTTTAAGAGGTCCTGGGGAGGTTTTGGTAACTTTGTACTAGAGATTTTACATTTGTGATTTTTGTATTCTTTTATTTAAAGAGTTCACCATCAGTTCTATAAACCTGGATGTGGTCTTCTGAATCAGAATGAAAAGCATGATTCAGAAAAACAAACAGAAGAGAAATTGAGGCCAAATTGGTTAGGTAGGAATAAAATATCCACTGAATGCTGATTTTTGTGTTTTAATCTGGAGGATGTGAATAACTTAACACATTCCATTTTCATATGCATTTTTGAGGCACTTTTAATAACTTTCTAAAGAAATCAGTTTGGCTCACGTATGGATATATTAACTCTTATTTTTTCCCCTTAATTGCCTCCATCCTAAAATATGAGGAAGAATTAATTAACTGCCCTGATAGGGGAAGAAAAGTTAATAGCAATTTTAATGAGTATAACCTTAGCAGGATTTGTAATAACCAGAAAAGATGGTGAAGTCACTTCTTTCTCCACTTGACTCTCTCACCTTCTGCGAATGGCCCTAAGTGCTGATTACAAGTGATTAATTACCTACTGGAAGGCTTGTCTTTAGCTCATCTTCTTATGCTAAAGCCAACTATAGTCTGAAGAATATGGTGATAATTCCAAATGTAAAAAAAAAAAGATAAAAGTGCCCTTTTCTGCAATATGAAGTGCTTAGAAGACTGAATTTGGAGACGAATATCTGGCGAGAGCTTTTACACCACCACAGGGAAAGGTGGATGGGTTGTATTAGACTGGCCTTGCACATTTCATCTAAAATGGCAGAGAATGTGGTACCACATACCAGAGACTTTTGTACCGCATACAAAGCAGTGGATTTCTGCCTAAAACACTGTCCAGAAAAGCAGTGCTAGAAAGAAGAGCCGAATAGGGCCTTGTGGTCCCACTGACCTCTGTACTCAAAATTCAGAGTTTGGTGTGAGTGAGAGAATTGGAATTTCTGGGGAAGAGAGGTTTTGGCAGAGAAGAATTTTGTAGGGAAGCAAGGGCAGAAATCTGTAATGGGGTAGATTTGATTTCTTGACCAAATACTGAGGTGCACGTGTGCAAAGAGAGATTCTACATGGCCCAGGAAGGAGCAAGTAGGTCCTACGGAGGTCTGCTGAGCTGATCTGTGCTTTCACAGTGCTAGCAGACGCTAAAGTTCTACCTCACATGGAAAGACCATAGACAAGGCCGTTGCTGTGGCTCAACAGGTAATCCTCCTCCTGCGGCGCCAGCACACCGGGTTCTAGTCCCAGTTGGGGGCACCGGATTCTGTCCTGGCCGCTCCTTTTCCTGTCCAGCTCTCTGCTGTGGCCCAGGAGTGCAGTGGAGGATGGTTCAAGTCCTTGGGACCTGCCCCCGCATGGGAGACCAGGAGAGGCACCTGGCTCCTGGCTTCGGATCAGTGCAGTGCGCCGGCAGCAGCGAGCTGGCCGTGGCGGCCACTGGAGGGTGAACCAATGGAAAAGGAAGACCTTTCTCTCTGTCTCTCTCTCTCACTGTTCACTCTGCCTGTCAAAAATATAAAATATTAAAAAAAAGACCATAGACACTGAGTAGTGCATCTAGAAAGATCATTCTCCAGGACTTCTTAGTAAGTGATACTCTAGGACTACTCTGGCATACCACAACAACAAGATTTAAAAAGAATCAAGCTGGGGGCCACTGCTGTAGCGTAGCGGGTAAAGCGCTGCCTGCAGTGCCAGCATTCTATATGGGCACCGGTTTGAGTCCCGGCTGCTCCACTTCCAATCCAGCTCTCTGCTATGGCCTGGGAAAGCAGTAGAAGATGGCCCAGGTCCTTGGGCCCCTGCACCCACGTGGGAGACCCAGAATAAGCTCCTGGTTCCTGGCTTTAGATGGGTGCAGCTCCAGCTGCTATGGCCAGTTGGGGAGTGAACCAGTGGATGGAAGACCTCTTTTGCTCTCTGCCTCTTCTTCTCTCTCTGTGTAACTCTGACTTTCAAATAAATAAATTAATCTTTAAAAAAAAATCAAGCTGCCTACAAGTACATGTGCTGCCTGCTAGAATAAAACCTCGAATACTTGGAAAGACAACAAAATTCAGATGTACAACAATGTCATATGCATTGTATTTACGATACAATAAATATTAGATGTGTAATAAGTAGAAAAATATAGCCCATAATCAGAAGAAAATTATTTAACATAAATTATCCTCCAAATTACACATATAGAATTATCAGATAAGGACTTTAAATCAGTAATAATGAAAGTGTTCAAGGATATAAAGAAAAATATATACTGCTACTATTAAAGAAAGTAATTTTATTATAGAATGAAATGTATAAAAGGGAGCCTAATAAATTTGTAGAGTATCTAGAAATAGAAGAAATAAAGGGATCCTAATGACCCTGCTTCATCCGAGATGAAAAATACAATGAAAATATACAGGGTACGATAAGCAGCAAAATGAAATTGTAGTAAATGAGTGGAAAAGGGCAAATATGCAAAATGAAGCCCCCTCCAAAAAAAAAAAATGAAACCTCTGAGAATAAGTGAACAGAGTTTTAGTGACCTGTCAGATAATACCAAATGGGCCTATGTTTTTATAATCTGGAGTCACAGAAGGAGTGGAGGTGGTGAGAATGGAATAGGAAAAAATCTTGAAAATATCAGAGTTGAAGAAAATGCCAAAATTAATAAAAAATAGACATAACTTATTTATGCATCTCAAATGTCAGTAAGCAGTATGAATTTAAGTTATACCTCATCAATAATTATGATGATCAAACTGCTGAAAATCAATAAAATAGTAAAGCAACCAAAAAAATATTTTACATGCAACAGCATAGCAATGAGAATGTTTCAACAAATTAGCAGAAAAAAATAAAAATTAGATGATAATGAAATTACAACTTTAAAGTACTGACTTAAAAAATAACAAAAATTGTAAAAGATTCATTCAGTTATTTTAAAGGCAAAGTGACAGAGAAAGGGAATAAAGAATCTTCCATTTGTTGATTCATTTTCCAAGTGTCTGCAACAGCTAGTCTGGGCCAGGCTGAAGTCAGGAACCAGAAACTCCATCTGAGTCTCCTAAGTAGGAGACAGGGACTCAAATACTTGAGCCATCACCTGCTACCACCAAGGGGCAGTAGCAGGAAGCTGGATTGGAAGCAGAGTAGCCAAGACATGAATCAAGCACTCCAGAATGTGGGCCTCCCAAGCATCAGCTTAACCTGCTGTGCTACAATGCCTGAGCCAATAGAATCAAATTTTGTGTAGAATAAAAATATCCTTCAAATACTAAGGTAATGAAACCTAATAAAAGACATTTTAGGTCGGCGCCCCGGCTCACTAGGCTAATCCTCCACCTTGAGGCACCAGAACACTGGGTTCTAGTCCCGGTCGGGGCGCCGGATTCTGTCCCGGTTGCCCCTCTTCCAGGCCAGCTCTCTGCTGTGGCCAGGGAGTGCAGTGGAGGATGGCCCAAGTGGTTGGGCCCTGCACCCCATGGGAGACCAGGAGAAGTACCTGGCTCCTGCCATCGGATCAGC